TGAACAAGGCTGGGTCAGACGATGGTTAGTGTTTGTTGCTTCTTTGGCTGTTCTCTTATCATCCTTACACAATTTATTAACGTTGCTTTTGCCTCTTTTCCTCCCCTAGAAGAATTGCATCGCGTTTTGGACAGTTCTCCGGAAAGGTTAGCCGTTGCTTTTTATTTATTCCATGCAACTGAGTTCTCAACAAACAATGCTCGATCAATGAGTGATATTTAATGTTGCTTACATGACGTACATTGTGCTTGCACATTTTGCCGTCCACGTAGATAAAATAACAGATGAAACTAAATGAAAACCCAACTTTCTATTTTTTCATTGTTAATTTTTACTCACTGCTTGTCCTGAACCTCAATATACATATATAGATATATATATATATATATATATATATATATATATATATATATATATATATATATATATATATATATATATATATAGGAAGTCTGAGTTTCGATTTTTCCGTAGTAGAGTGCTCGATACGTTAAAGTAGAGCGTGATATGAATATTGGAAGTAGGAAAAAAAAAAAGTTTTCTTCCCACTTCCAATATTTATATATTTATATATATATATATATATATATATATATACATATATAATATTTGGAGAGAAACTTTTAAGGCAATGGTTTCCTGACCTAAAACCAAGCATTCCTCTAACTTTCAATGGTACGATTTTGGACTATTTCGGTGATAAAACTCTAGGAGGTCATTATGGCATAGCTTATTATTAAGTCCATAGGAAACAGATGAGGTGTTTAGACGCCCAAGGGCCATGCAAGGAATTGCTAGTTAGAGCTGCACAGCAATACAGCATTGAAAGACAGATTTGAAAATGAGAGACATGTTTCAATTGACTGTGCTCTAGTGATGCTCTGCATGGCCCTTGGGCTTCCGAACATCTTCTATGTACCTCTACTTGCGTTAAAACAAATAAAACTGATACAAAATGATCTGACATGAATGATATTTAATCAAGAATTAAAACAATGAAAACAATACTTTGATGTCTTTGTCTTCTTCTTAGGCACTATTTGCCATTTAACAAAAAACAGAAACAATATAAACAGAACATTAAAGAGCAACAGCAAAGAGCAACAGCAATTGCATAATATATAGACTTAGCCAGGGCTAAAAGCGAAGCTCCCATTAATAAATTTATATTTTAAATCAAACAAACTTGTAATCCACAAATCAGATAATTCTTATTTTAGAGTGAAACATCTTACATCGAGTTGATAGCCTAAATATACATGTATGTACACTCAAAAAATAGCAAACATCTTCTATCACATTCAAGAGCCATAATGGCTCTTGATCACAGTAGATTAGGCCTCGAAAATAAATTCTTGGAAAACAAATCAGGCCGCCCTTTTTTTGCGTTCGACAGGTTTACTTTACAAATTCTTGCCAACAAATCTGAGGGTGTGTAAACCAACCTTTTATACTTTTTATACATCACATCTGAGGTGAAACAGTACTTTTTATCATACAGACCTCGGACAGCATACGGCATTTCACAATTTTTCAATGTTCAGGACGATCAATCGTGGGCTTTTAGCGCAACCGTTCAAAAAATTTCCAAAATCACCCATACGGCCAGCTGGTTCTCATTTTTAGTGCGAGATGTCAGTGTGGTCGAGTGTTTGCATGAACTTTAATGGAGATACGCTTCAACATAATAACGAATTTATTATCATTATTTTTTGTTATTTAATGGTTCCAGTTATAACGATGTGTAATCTTATAAAGCGTTTGATATGGGCGACATTTCTAAGTACTCCTGCAAGCGATGTTCATGAACGATGAAAACAAACACCACAGACAAGCGATTAAAATTGCAAGAGAGACTACTAACAATCAATAAAAGAAATATAATTCGGTAAAACATTTACAGAGACAACAATTTTCATTCACGAAGACAAGTGTTAAAGTGTCTCCAAAAATCCTGAGTCTTTAAGCTTAAAGCTTAAGCTTAAGTTTATTTTGTTTTACTTTCAGCTGGCCTCCCGGCGTTTGTTTTTTTTTTCAAAGATGAACTCCTTGAAGCAAGAAAATCACTCAAAGTTTTCTTTCAACAGCCAAATTTATAAAAATTTATTATATCTGAAGGCCTTTTAAAGTTCTGTAAGCTTATATCAAACCTGATACTAGATCACATCATTGACTCAAATCTTAACAAACGTGCAAAAACGTGCCGCATACACTGTGCTCGACTTTATGAAATTAGGTATAACAAAAACAAACATCAAATACAATAATTACTCAGGCTTACCATTCGAGATTCAGTTCCTGAAAGATATCAAGGAAGGCCATAGTTGCTTCAGACTTTTAAACCCTCTTACGCATTGAGCAAGGTGAAAGACGAAAACGTTCATTCGTTCGAAAACGACATTCTGCTACATGTAGTCAGAAAAAAGAAGTGAACTTTCCTCAATTTAATCTTTGTTCGAATTTCCGTAAAGCATTATCTCTTTCCCAGGTTGGCAATTGAGAAACAATAACTTTGAGGCCCTACACGTATTTTTGCATGCAGAAAAAAATATGCTTCTCATGGAATGCAATGGGTGTAGAAAAATAAATAAATAAATATGAAGAAAAGAAAGAAAACAACAAATTTGTTCATCTCAGGATACACTGGATAGTTCTCTAAATGCATCTTTTTATTCACTTTGGACAAGTTATATTTTTGTATGCAATACTCCTTCTGGCATGAACTCAGCAATTATTTTGTCAATAAATGGCTTGTCACCTAACCAGGAAACTTAAGATATCAGCAGAACTGTTTCATGCACTATAACTGCAAACAGGATTTACTCTCCAGAATAAGCTGCTTTAAACGCAATGGAAAATACTCTTTGATCTTTGATTAGAATAAAAATTTCAAAACTCAAACTGACAAAAAATTGTCTGCTGAGTTTTTTTTTTTCACATTCAACTTACTTCAAATGGTCATGCCAACTTTACCGTAAAGGAAAAACGTACTTGAACCTTCTATACAATCAGTCAATGATATCAACATGATGAAATCTTTCCTTTAGTAAATCAAGGATACTTTCTGGAGTGTCAATACCTCCCTTTGAGATTTTTTTCACCAAACTGCTGTGTGATTTAGTACAGACAGTGCCTTGATCCAGAGGTCAGTTTAAAACAACTGGCATTCTTATTCCAAAAATAATAAGCCTCATGCCTGGCAAGACAGTACTGGGAATCTTCATCCTGGTTGAACCCGATTACAATGCTGTTAATCTCTTTACTGCAACCTGCACACTTTCTTATGCCCCCTGCTATCCTCTTAACAACAAGGGTAGAGGTAATTGGGGGATCTTCTGGCCTATCTTTTTTGCGAATGATGATCTTCGTGGGATCCACCTGTTCAACAGAAAGATGGTCGGACCCTTGATTTCTATCTTCTGAAAGGTGGGGTGTACATACAGCTGTGTTTGTTGGTCTCTTTCGTGGGGGGACTTTCCTACCCACCCCCTTTGGCGCATTATTTGTTGCAAGGTTATTAAGGTTTCTGCCAGGATAACATTTAAGGACGCCGGGAAGCCTGTCTTTGTGCTTAGCAATTGCCAGAGGATGAAAACACAGGTTGTCTCTGGCAAAAAAGGAACATGAACACGTTGTCTTCCCACTTTTGTAACAAATTACTTTATGTGGAACAGCAACACCACTATCCACAAAGAAACTGCCATCTTGGAAGCCTTCTCTGAAGCGCCTATTAGCTATCAAAGCATCTGCCTTCACTGTCAGCCCTGATATCTCTTCACTGCTAAAGTGCTGCCTTAGACTTTTCATATAATCTGAAGGGAATGCTCCCACTTGGGATTGGTCTTGGTTCATACAGAGATAAATGAAAACAATGTTTAAGATACATGTACAGAATGAAGTATCAAGAAAAACTATTTAAAAAAAAGATAACAATTCAAAAGTACTTCTCTGTACGAATGCCATGTTGAAAAAGACAAGATTTGTCACAATCTCATGTAGATGTTATTTTTGTCTTTGTCTTGTCCTTTTCACTTCACTATTTTTTTATGTGATGTGTTTTAAAGCGCCTAATTACAAAAATATAACCTATCTTTCCCTTGAAGGCCTATAATCGCTACTAAGCATGCAACAGTAAAATCACCTACTTGCATAGCTACCAAAGTATAAAGGATATATTATTGCTTGCCCCAACCTCTTATTACATGTAGAATGCAAAGATTTTTATGTAATCTTTATTATACACAATGCAAGAATCTAAACTGAAAGGCGGTCCAATTTATATAAAATGATTTTCACCATGATTATAGCACAGAAATTATTGGAATAATCATCACTATCTCTCTTCTCACCGGCTGATTTAATTAACACCACAAGGGTAAAGCTGCAAACTCCACAGCTTATTTGGAGACTTTTTAAGTTCTAAATGTACAATACAACAGCAAGGCCTTACTTCAGCAGTTAACGTTTGATGTTGGTGTGTCAACATACAATCAGTCCAATCTTTTGTTATATTTTCTACCAGTTACTCGTACCTTTACGTTGGTGGCACCTGATTGTGCTGCAAGCAGCTTGCTTTCAAACTTAAACAACCTACACTTCTTACAGGCAACTGCATCTGGCCTGATGCGCCGTACCATAGACATTTCTGTCTGACGCTCTTCTGGCAAGAGGCTACTGAATGGTTTGGGGCGAAGGTGCTGAAACTCTTTTCGTACGTCCCATTTCTCTGAGAGGCCAAACCATGCTAGCTCTTCCTCCCCATTAAAACTCTGAACTAGATCATAAAGGGCAAAGATCAGCTTGTCCATTTCTTGCGGTTTGAAATTATTCCAGTCTTTCAGAAGACCATTCACTGATTCAGGGATGTTCTGGTTGTATGGGTCATCACCCAATCCCAAGTCCTTGACTACAAACTTGCACATTTTACTCTTCATATCTTGCTTCTTGTTTCCAAGAAGTATGTAGAGAATTTGGGCTCTCCTTGTCGCTCACTCCTCTCAAGTGAATCCCATTCTTCAACAAGATGCGATATCTTTTCCTCAAATTCTGATTCAGACTGAGACCACACCAAGCCAACTCTGCCAAACAAGTCACTACAAAAACGCCTTGTTAGCCCCTCTGACAAACCAATTTAGTTCATTTTCTGCTGGACATTCTTCTTGCAGTGAATGTAACATAGGAGGTGAAATGACCCATGAAAACCTGTAGCAAGGGCGTTAACTAGAGCATCCTCATTGTCTGTTCCATAAACATGGAGGTATTGTGCAAAACCCGGAACTTCTCATACTAGTCAATGGACAAATGAGAGAGATGTTTGATAGTCTTTCGTCCGGCAGATCATCACAGGGCCCAAAAAGGATGGTGAACACCTCCTGTCCTTTACTTCAAGTAGAGTGTTTTTGTAACTTGTCACGAGAAGATAAAACGGTCCAAGCTGAAAGGTCAAGTCCACCCCACGTTCTGAAACAAACTCTTCCTTTTTCAAACAACAAAACTTGACAAGATTGTCAATCTGCTGGTCAGTGAACAAAATAACCGTTGGTAAATCATTACAAACCACATCACGAATGAAACCCGGTAAAACAGCTTTTTGCAATTCCATTACAGTGGCAAGGGGATCCCTAGAACCTTCCGAGTTTCTTGTTTCATCAGTTTTCTTGAATTATTTCATTTGTCTTTCATTTCTCGGCAATATTCCAAGATTTTTTGCCCCCAGGACTCCACCAACATCTTTGACAGTTTTGAATAAGGCTCTCTTTGGGCCACTATCAACTTGAAGATTTTCTGAGGCCTTATGCTTGGTGCTCATTTTGGTGCGTACATGCGGTTTTCCAGGTGCTTGTTTTCGGTTTCCATGATGCATGACCTCAAAGGATTTTTCTTCGCCATCATACTTGTACTGCAGAAAGACAATCGGGTACCACTGTTTGATTTCCCTTCCATACTCAATTGAAACCATGAGTTTATGGAAGGCTTGGTATAAGTACGCCTTCTCACGGTTATGTCCGCTTCTTCCTCTCTAGACACTTTAGTCAACCCCACAACTTTATTATTAGCAGACGTGATGGTGTTGAAATACTTGGTCTTTTTGGGTCCACACACCGTTGTCAACACTGTAGATGTCTTTCCTTTCTTCTAGGGCATCAATGTCAACCAACAGGGATGCACTTTGCTGTATTCCACATGGAACAGATTTGCTTACAAGCTCCACATTGTCTGTTCTATAGTTCATGAGCAGTGGTATGATTAATGGGTTTTCAGAACTCTCCAGCTCTTTTATCAACCTGCAATCTTCGTCTCCATTATACACAACAAATGACGCCTTTTTCTCTTTAAGCGGAGAAGCTTCTGTTTTTATCTGTCTCACTCTAAAGAAGGGAGAAATATGAGAGTGCACCTGAGCTTAATGACGGTGCAGAACTCCAATCTATACGGTCACTAGTTATTAGCAACTGGTCAGTGGTTAGTTAGGGTTGAGACACAAAGAACATGTGACCAACAAAATGACATACATCAACTTCTTGAAAGATTTGTGTATTGTCTGTCATTATACTTTTGCAATGCTCTAGAACAGGTTACAAGGCCATTTACGAAAATACAGGTGGGACTCCATTAACCTGCAGGACCAGCAAGTGGCTGCGTAATGGAGGCTGGCCGCTCAATAGAGGGTCATCATTAATTAGTATAATCTTTGTCAGAAACACCACTTTATTTTGAAACAAACACTCGACGGGAAGAGCATTACACAATCAGCCATCACCTTCTATCTTGGTCTTTATTTTCCTTCATCATATTCTTACAATAAAGCCAAACTAATTGTATGAAGGGCTTGATGGATGCTTGGTAGAGGTCTTGTTGGGACAGCAAAATTGAGGCTGTGGCAGCTTAATATGGGTTTAGTTCCCCATTCTTTTCTATTTTTGAACTTTGCTTACTGACCACATAAGAGAGAGTGACTGCTTAATAAATGGCCTGTTTCATTTGACAGTTCAACTGAATGCCGAACTGAAAGATACTAACCTCAATTTGTTTTTCCGCATCATCATCATCGGATGGCAAAGGGCCATATATGTCATTAGTTGACCTGCAGAAAAAGACAATACTTACTCGAAGTAGATTGAAAATGATTTACGAAAAAAAAATTCTCCAAAAATGTCTGAACACAGGTGGGATTTTGTCAGACACCGGCAAAGTTTGGTCGACCAGTGTTCAACAACCAACTGTTCTTTGCAGCCCTTTCTCCATTCAGCACGAAACATGGTCATGAAGCTCCTTGGATTATCAGTGACTGCCGACCCCAAAGGTTCAAATTCGAGATGGCAGAAATGAATTTACACTCGATACTAATATCTTCGAAGAGTATGTACACACCTCCATCACAACATATTGTCATTGACATGTTCTGTACCAGGTTTGGGCAATGTGAAGTTAATGTAGATTCATTAAGTAAGTTGTAAGTTATTGTAGCAAAGAAGGAAAATTATATTTCTTCCTCTGTAACCAGCTGTACTGAAGTTCAGAAGTTGAGCCATTTGAAATATTTGGTATTTTTGCATTCAATGGTGGCTATAGTCATCGCGGTCACTCAGTGTGAGATACTCACCTTGAATCTAATTCTCCATCTTCACTAGTCTCACTACAACCAATTTCAATTACTTCTGGATGTCTGGAAATAAATGAACAAAATATATATTGAGTCATGAACTCCCATCATTGATTGCACATGATTTACCAAGTTTATAGCTGGTGTTACATCAGGATTGTAACTTGAACTTTGAAGTAGAAGACCATGTCATTGCCATATTTTAAATGGAAAAGCACACAAAAGCACAGAAAAATAATGCCGTAGGCAATAATTTGCAAGAGTCATTATTATTGTGATGGAGGCAAATAAATGGTAGATAGATAAACAGATACTTTTTGCTAGAGGCAAGCCAAAAATAAAAAGTAAAATAAGGTATTAATAATCTTAAGAGAGATCTAACTATAAATTAACAGAACAACAAAATTTTACATGTAATCTTTATAAAAAGCATATTCCGTAGTATTCCGACTGTATCACAACGCAAATACAAAATAACAACGACCTAGCCTCCACCAACCCTTGTTTTCATGAAAACCGCTGGACAAAAAAAACCCCTTGGTTAATGTTATTTTGTCGCAAGGAAACCAATGCTCAAAGGTCGTTGGAACATCTTCGGGCATTTTCGGCAACGATAGGAAATCTCCTGCGCTGGCGTTTGCGGAAATCTCACTTAGACGGCGGTTTTCTTTAATAGGCAATCTTTGGACCTCTACATATCTTCCTTTGTGGGTTATTTTAAGAAGACTAATCCTTTTGTAGTTTACTTTATATGTTTTAATAATGTAATTGTGCACGACCAATGTTTTTTAAGTTTACATAAGCTTAAAACAAAACGCAGTTTTGTTAAACTCTTGCTAACATTCCGTTTAAATAACTGGCCCTTAATTAGTCTTTTGACTCTCAAAAAAGCGGACAGCTGGTTTGTATTTCCCAAAGGTAATAGATTTTGTATTTAAAAAGACAGTGATATTAGGGCCTTGCCTGAAAAAGACATTTTGTTCTTGAAAAAGCGTGATCGGAGATGAAACCACGTGCAGGGTTATCGATGAGAACTTTGCATCGAAGAAAAAAAAAGCAACGACTTACCTTTCAGGAGAACTGTCCAAAACGCGATACAATTCTTCTACAGGAGGAAAAAAGGGAAAAAAAAAACAATGTTAATAAATTGTGTAAGGATGATGAGAGAACAGCCAAAGAAGGAACAAACACTAACCATCGTCTGACCCAGCCATGTTGTTGTGGTGAAGCAGCAAGAACTGCACATGTGCAAGCAGAGTATGGTGAGCATCGGTCGACAGCGCCTCGTTAAATCTTATTTTTGCACTATTTCTGTTTTAATTCATTTCTCATTATTTTTTCTATCAAAATAAAAAGTGTCAATGGACGCGGTCCATGACAGGGGGTCCATGGACTCTGTCCATGAAAGTGGTCCATGGAGCGGGTCCAAAGTGGGGGTCCATGTTTTGTCCTCACCCATTTCATGGTTTTATGTTAACAAATAATGCCCTATTTATTAAATTTACTGTACACCTGTGTGAACAATCCCTGTATTTCTTGAAGCACCTAGGGTAACCAATAAGATTACAGGATGTATTACAATGACAAATCTATATGCACACTATGATGGGATAGCTATTGTGGAACTTGCTGTGGTACAGTATAGGGGAACCAGGATGAAAGCCTTCCTTCTAATATGCACCCGAAATTGTAATAAGCATAGGCATATATGTATACCCAGAACCCACATTTGTATCCATTCGTATCTCTCTCATCTAAATATTTATTCAAAGTGGTACACTACAGGGTGTCCCAAAAGTTTGTTCCTCTAATTTCATGAGCTAAAACTTTTGATCAAAACTTATGCTTATGAAAATGAATGTTCAAATAACCAGGACATCAGCCTAGGCATGAGGGAAAGCCTAATTTGTCATGGTTGTCCTCACTTGGGCATATAACATAAGCTTATTTTTAATATGCTTGTGTCGCTAGAGGGTACCGGGCTTTATGGAGTTTTTACAAGAGAGTTCTATTGTTCATTTAAAGCTGCATTGCTCTATTTTAAACCCATGTATCTTGCACTCTAATGTAATTGACTGACTGATATAGGTAATTATTACATGCACTTACTCTCGCCAGATGTTCCTGGGATTGCCAAAGCTTCATAATCCACTCTGTCATTATCTGACTTAATTTCTAACCAGAACATCACCACAGTGAAGCTCAAACGGTTACAAGCCAGTCATACCTACACGTAGGTCTAGGGAATTTAGAGCAGAGCTTGCACCATCACCCCGCCTGGGTCATTTTATTCATTGCCTCAGCAGGGATGGGCGAAATTTAGGGGAGGCA